ACCCTCAGGCCGGGAGAAGGCCAGCGAATGTGCAGAAATACCCTTGAGAGTTGAGGCTTTCAACTCCGGGATGTGCTCATCTTGACGAGATACTTGGAGGGTCGGGGGACTTAGTAACTGGTTATTTAGGGACTTATAAGCACCATAACCCAGTTAGGGTCCCTTTCAGGGCACTTATAAGTCTACTTCCTACCTACTTACTAAGTCCCCCGACCCTCCAAGTAGCCTCACAAAACACAGGCCCAACTTTTTCCAAGGGCAACTGTGGATTGATCATTGATCATTAACGCTAGAGTACCGGCTCCAGCCCCTTTGTAAGGGGTCGTTGTCTCAATTCCAGGCCCACCATCAAGCACCGAATCCTCTACTCTAGCCTTGCAAGCTGAGTTCCCTGGCAACATTAGGGTTTAAAGTTTAGGGTTTAGGGTTTGGGGTGCGATATGGAACGACGCAAGCCATCCCTCCTGAAGCTTGCAATGCCCTGCAACTCAGGAAACCTGCGAGACGATCGTGGGCCAAGGCAACAGCGTCCCTCCAACCCCAGCCCGAAAACGTGACGGTCGCCCAAAGAACCCTAAACCCTAAGCACCCTGTCGGCCAAAGAAAGGTGCCACCTGCTTCAGCTGCTGCAGGTCCCACAATGCATCCTTTGGCCCGGCAACCTGCGCTCCACAAAGAGAGAGACAGAGAGAGTGGTCTCGTCGGCAAAAAGTGCGGAGACTTACTTACTACCCTAAAAGGGACATTTATTGGGGTGATATGATATGTATATATATCTATATATATATATATATATGTATATATATATATATATACATACATATATATTATGTGTATATTATATAGAGATAGATAGACTCAAGCACTGTGACGGCTTCGTGACTGCGATTCGACTGTATCCCAAAACTGCTGGACGACACGACAGCATCATATCATGCTCATTGAACTCCTGAACAGCACTCGCTCAGCTCGAACCACGGAGGCAAGATCTGCTCATGGTTGCGCTTGTTCTCTCTGCCTGGATGCTGGCGGATCAACTTTGGCTATGCTCTTGGAGTCTACCTCTCACTCCTCGACGTCGGGCTGCTGCTGTTTGACACGGGCGGTCAGGGTCAGCAGCCAACGTGAGATTGCTGCACATCCGTTCCCCCTGCCGCGGGAAGTGCGCATGTCGCCGGAACATTGCTGGACCCCAGAGACTCCAATATCCCTTAATTAAGATATATTCCTTAAATTATGGTAGGATCCCTAATATGATTTAAGGAATATTCCTTAATTAAGGGATATTGGAGTCTCTGGGACCGCACATGTACCCGTGCAGGCTCCTGGGTCATGGCTTGTGCCGCTCTCGCTCGCGATGCCGACCTTCTTGGTGTGCTTGGCCATGGCTGTTGAAAGGACGAGGAAGGGCCACCCATACGAAATCCCTGGGTGAGAGGCAGACGGCAGCATGATCATGCATCTATCTGACAGACGAATGGAGGCGCTACACATCTGCAGATTCAACTAGCAACTCTCTCAGGAACAGCTGAGAAACTATAAGACCCAAGTGAACATCGCTGAACAGTGTGCGTTTGCAGTGCCTGTGCGTAGGTCTAATGCCGAGGAAACAGTCGAAGATGGGAACACTGAAGCTGGGATGGTGATTAATAGATATTAAGAAAGCGCTGCTGCAACTCTGCTAGCAATTGGAGTTTCGGCACGCCGTTCGCAAAAACGGACTGCATCATGACACACCTCAGATATCCTGCGACCGCTGACTTCGCTCAACAACGAAACCAAGCAAGTACGTGCAGTCCAGATAGTCCAGAGCTAATGCTAGCTATGACAGTCGCCGCTGAGTGCTGTGCTGCAGAGCATGGTTAAGTTGGCAAGACACGATAGCTGCAAGCAGTTTTTGACGGATGGCATGCAGCTCAGAAGATGCCCGTTCATGCTTTCAGCCTCTCATTTACTCGTCGACGCCGCCGGCCTGCTGCTTCTTGAGACGCGCGATGGTGGCGCGCACCGTGGCAGCGGGGCCCGTGGTCAGGGTCCAGCAGCCACCCGCCATGACTTTGTTGCAGGTCTTGGAGTTGCACTTCCAGATGCCGCCTGCTTCGCGCTTCACGTTCTCCTTCCCGCAGAAAGTGCACATGTACCGGGCGCGCTGCTGGATCTCGTAGCGCTTCACGATCTTTCGGAGGGAGGCACCATATCGTGTGCCGTACTTGCCCGTGATGCCGACCTTCTTGGTACGCTTGGCCATGGCTGTTGCAAGGACGAGGAAGGGCCACCCGTACGAAATCCCTGGGTGAGAGGCAGACGGCAGCATGATCATGCATCTATCTGACAGACGAATGGAGGCGCTACACATCTGCAGATTCAACTAGCAACTCTCTCAGGAACAGCTGAGAAACTATAAGATCCAAGTGAACATCGCTGAACAGTGTGCGTTTGCAGTGCCTGTGCGTAGGTCTAATGCCGAGGAAACAGTCGAAGATGGGAACACTGAAGCTGGGATGGTGATTAATAGATATTAAGAAAGCGCTGCTGCAACTCTGCTAGCAATTGGAGTTTCGGCACGCTGTTCCTAAAAACGGACTGCATCATGACACACCTCAGATATCCTGCGACCGCTGACTTCGCTCAACAACGAAACCAAGCAAGTACGTGCAGTCCAGATAGTCCAGAGCTAATGCTAGCTATGACAGTCGCCGCTGAGTGCTGTGCTGCAGAGCATGGTTAAGTTGGCAAGACACGATAGCTGCAAGCAGTTTTTGACGGATGGCATGCAGCTCAGACGATGCCCGTTCATGCTTTCAGCCTCTCATTTACTCGTCGACGCCGCCGGCCTGCTGCTTCTTGAGACGCGCGATGGTGGCGCGCACCGTGGCAGCGGGGCCCGTGGTCAGGGTCCAGCAGCCACCCGCCATGACTTTGTTGCAGGTCTTGGAGTTGCACTTCCAGATGCCGCCTGCTTCGCGCTTCACGTTCTCCTTCCCGCAGAAAGTGCACATGTACCGGGCGCGCTGCTGGATCTCGTAGCGCTTCACGATCTTTCGGAGGGAGGCACCATATCGTGTGCCGTACTTGCCCGTGATGCCGACCTTCTTGGTACGCTTGGCCATGGCTGTTGAAAGGACGAGGAAGGGTCACCCGTACGCAATCCCTGGGTGAGAGGCAGATGTGCAGCGGGTCCATGCGTGCGGCACGAGGCAGTATTCATCCGCAGCCACAACAAATCAAATCACAACTCTATCAGGCAACACTAAGCGAACTGTAACATGCAGAATCAGACTCCGTGAGTGCATCTGACGAGATGCCAGGCAAAGGTCAAGGCTTTCGCTCAAATCCTAACTCCTCAACCTGACTATCTACACCCCTAAACCCTAAATCCTGAACCCCAACTGTCCCTCCCAGCACTCACCCCCCTTTTTTCTTCTCAACCCGAACGGCTAAGGTGCGATGTAAAGCGGAACACAAGGCTCAAATGACCTTTCCGCCGTGGCCAGAGGTCGGCCAACGAACAGCATAAGTGCCACTGTTGTAGTGTATGCTTTGCAGCTTGGGGCTTAAAGGGCTCAGGGCTTAGGAGTCACATAGCCTTCAGGGAACTGTCCTGGGAGGCTTGCGATGCAGACTGCTCGGAAAGGTGCATCCACGGTTTAGGGTTTAGGGTTTAGGCTTGCGATGCAGACTGCTCGGAAAGGTGCATTTGAGGTGGGTGCCGGTTCCTTGAGAACTGGAACCCCAAGAGGCTGATAAGCTCCTGTCATGCCAGAAATACTCATGGGACTTAGTAACTAGGGTTATAAATAAGGTAACTATACTTATAACTCCAGTTAGGGTACTTCTGACCTTACTTACTAAGTCCCATGATCCTCCAAGTACCAGTAAGGACGCAAGAAAGTTGCATGTAGATACTTCTTCTCCTGGCATAGCTGATCAGTCAGAATCTGGAGGGGACGGGATGGGAAGATGACAGAATGCATCCCGCATTCACGCACAGATACCTGCAATTCACTGTGTCACCTGGGACGGCGGTAGCCAAACAGCATCTTCCCATCGCGACATTGCAAAGCCCTGCGTAGCTGCGCTTGCTCTTGCTACACCTTCATCAAGAAGAGCTTGAACCTCCCAAGTGGTAGGAAGCCAGAGGCCCGCTCGTCTTGCAGCTTCGGATCAGGAGATGAGCCTAAGGCCCTTAGTAAACCCTGAGGGTTTAGGGTGTAGGGTTTAAGTGCATCTTTTAAGAAAGAACCTGCATGACGAGCTGGAGCCGCGAAGAGGACACGTCCCTTTACTTCAGCCTGAGTCGATTGCTGAGAAACAGCACCTATTCGGGCCTGTAAAGGACGCCCGTGTGGGATCTTTGTGGGAAGTAAGTCTGTGATCTCAGACATCTTGCATGTGTTGGCACGCACACTTACTTCCGACAAAACTGGATGCAGAAGCAGTCACGCTACCGTCAATGGCAGTTTGCACCTTGCACCCTTGTGACTGGCTGCACTCCAGTATTCGAGCTTTCAAAGAGGCATTAAAACTGAAGACGTTGCTGCAGCTGTTAAAGCAATAGATCGAAACTGGCCGGCGTGGCTTTCCAAGAGACATACTAGATTGCTAGATTAAACGCAACACGGACAACACCGGTCTTTGACAGTTAAAAAGATGGCAGCTGAGCATGGACACATCTCGAGCACGTCGTACGAACAAAAGCCTCGTTCGCAAACAGCCGAGTCGCGACGTGGGCAGGCTTAGAGGCGGCGGATAGGTGGTATTGGGTTCTTGCTAAAGGGAGTCCTTGCAGCTGCAAGATGGACAACTGGGAGCTTACTCCACCGCTGCCGCCGCATCTGAAACGAAAGAGAGTCTTCACGGCCATGTCCGGCCGCCAAACTCCTCGAAAGCACAATAGGCGTCTGGAGACTGCATGACCGATTGTAGACTCTGAGTGACTGTCAGCAAGGAGCAACCCTAAATCCTGCCCCCAAATTCAAGCACAAGAGGTCCTGACCCTCTCATCCACCCTTGTTGGGTGCCGGCGGCGTCGGATCCATGTTGCAGTCCCCCAGCAAAGGCTGGCTGAGCGTGTGAGGCGGCTCCTCCAACCACAAAGCTGAGGGGCTTCAGGGTTTACTGCAGAAAGCAAAGGTACACTTCCTAAACACCCGAAAACCCTAAACCCTAAACCCTAAACCCCTAAACCCTAAACCCTAAACCCTAAATTCCCAAAATCCCGAGACTCCCGAAACTCCTGAACCTCCCTAAACCCCTGAGCTTCCTCAACCCTTAAAATCCAAAACTTCCTAAAAACTCCAGGCTCCTCGGAATCCCTACTTAAAAAGGTTCATGAAACTTAGTAACTACCTTAGCCTATACCAAACCCTACTTTGATGTAGGTTCTTATTATGAACCCTAGTCCTAGTATGGAGTTTATAGGGACCCTAAACTTAAAGGTTCATGAAACTTAGCAACTAGGGTTATCAATAAGGTAACCAGTTAAGGTACTTATAACCTTACTTACTAGGTCCCATGCACCTCCCAGCAAGCTTCCGAAACCCTAAACCCTTTACCGTCAGGCCTGGTTCGACTGGATGCTGGGCTGCCTCATGCGCTCCAGGGTCTCGTGCAGCAGCTCTTGGCCTTTAGGGGTTTAGAGTTTAAGGCTTTTACGGGTTTAGGGGAGTAGGTTCCTACCCAAAAATTCAAGCTTCCCTGCTCTACTACTAGGTTTCAAGGTTTAGACTTTAGGGGTTTTGGGTTAGGGGGTGAGGGGTTCTGGTTTCGGGGTGCTGGGGTTTGGGCTTAAGTTAGGAGTTCCGGGTTCAGGGCTTCAGAGGTTTAGGGGTCCAGGGGTTATTAGGATTTTAAGGGTTTAGGGGTTGTAGGAGCTACAGAGGTTTAGGGGTCCGGGGGTTATTAGGATTTTAAGGGTTTAGGGGTTGTAGGAGCTAGGGCTTAGGGATTCAGGGTTTAGTAGGGTTTGCTGCATCTGCTGCACTGCCTTACTGCAAGGGGTCCTTCACGGCTTACTATTCGGGTTGCGATCAGGGTTGCTACAAGTATCAAACTTACTATACGGGTTACTTCTATCAGGGTCTGTCTAGGGTTCTCTACGAGTTTTATGACGAGTTTGGGGTTCCAAGTGTTCAGAAAAATCAAGGTCTAAGGTCATTGGGCTTATGTGATGGGAGGCCAAAAGGGTGTTTAAGATTCTTGGGGTAGGGCTTCCTTAATATGAACCCAATTATGGGAACCCGGGAACCCTAATCCCTACTAAAACCCCATAGGCTAAAACCCCTTTTGGCCTCCTATGATTCGGCACACTCCATAAGAAACAACATAAAACGTCCTGCAAAACCCTGCTGAGGCTGGGGCACTCCATCTTGTCGCCGTTCAGACGAACCTGAGCTTTGCAACAGCGCGCGGCCAAGTGAAAACCTAGACAAGCCGCAAACCGATACACAAATATATATATATATATATATATATAAATATACATATATATATATATATATATCTGTATATATATATATATATATTTCATTTATCTATTTACTTATAATATATATATATACATATACATATATACATATACATATATATATATATATATACACATGAGGAGCGGTTCAGTGCCTTGGGGTTCTCAGTATGTGTTGGGATTAGGATGAAGGGGACACAAGATGTTCGAGAACCTTCTCATCGACAGTATGGGCGCCGAGACTGTCGAGGGGCTGGTACTTGGAGGATCATGGGACTTAGTACGGGTTCTTAAAGGGCTCCTTAAAGGGAGCTATCGTGTTCTTTAAAGGGATCTATAGGGTTTAGGGTACTACTTGGAGGGTCATGGGACTTAGTAAGTAAGGTTATAAGTACCCTAATTGGCGTTTTAAGTATACTTACCTTGTTTATAACCCTAGTTACTAAGTCCCATGATCCTCCAAGTAGCTTTCATCCACAGTCTGGGGTTTAGGGTGTACAGTGGGGGTCTAGTTACCGATTTCGTCGATTTGAATACGAGAAGAGCTTCAAGACAAGAGTGCTCCATAGGAGACTTTGACAGAAAAGTTTCTGACACCACCGCTTTGAGGGCACGGCAATCATGTTGAGATGGTGGTCGTGAAGCTCTTGATGCTTGTAGCGCGACCAGATCCTTATGCAGCATGCGGCTTTTAGCTGCCCTGCAAGCTGCAAGCATAAATGCATGTTGACATACGGATGCCACCGTCATCATGCAAAATCGACGCCATAAGCCCCTGGCAATGCAATAAATGCCACCCAGGCAAGGAGGGTGGCCAAGAAGAGGCCCAGCTTCAGGTAACCTCAGCATTTATGGCGTTTTGGGTTCAGGATTTAAGCACTGAGGTTTAGGGCTTGGGTCAAGTGAGTGTGTCCAAGCTAAAACCGCTCTTAGGGCGATTCAACAGGAAGCGAGTTCTTGCTGTCAATTTCGACGGCGAGAAGCTGTGCAGTGGACGATCCCTTACGCAGTGGGGTCACACGGCAAGCCTGCTTAAACTCTCAACCCCGAACCTCCTTAACATTAGCAGTTACAACTTGGTAATGTGTGATGGTATACTAATACTAATACTAATACGAATACTAATACTAATACTAATGCTAATACTAATACTGATATATACTAATATTACATATGCTTATACTAATACTACTATTATATAGCTTGAAAGGGGGCTCTAAGAACATCATGCTCCGACTGTTGACCCCCCTTCAGCCCCCTGAAACCCGGAACCCTTCGCCTTCCTAAACCCTAAAAGCCCTTTGTGAGGAGGGTTCAGGGTTTAGGGATATAGACACTCTTAGAAAGCCTTCAAGCCTTCTTGCAGGATCATGGGTAAATAAGATTAGAGGGACCGCAACTATAGATACCTTTGTTTGGTAACCTTCGCTACTAAGTCACATGATCCTCCGAGTCGGGCTTGGAGTTGTTGCTCTAAGGGTTGCAAAATTGCGGGCTGGGTTTAATGTTTAAAGGTTAAGGGTTTAGGGGCGCGTGTGTGCTTCGCAATTCAGAGCTCTAACCCGAGTAGTATGACTGAGTCGATGGAACCCCTTGCAGAAGGTGGGAGATTCCTCGCAAAGCAGGACCAGCTCCTCAAAACCCTAAACCCTAAACCCTAAACCCTAAACCCTAAACCATGCGAGAAAGCTGCGATTCTCCTTGATGTCCAAATGCTCTTCCATGGCTTCTGCATCACTGCTGGCCTCAGTACAGCGGCTCGACGCTACGAATCCGACAAAGGCACATGAGATTTCATGAGGAGCACTTAAATTAAACCCAAAGCCCTGAGCCCTAAATGCCTCCTCTCCTGCTGCGCACCGAAACTCCACAATCACGAAACCCACTTGGACCAGAGAACAACCTCAGCCTAACCCCAAAAGCCATAACTCAAGCCTAAACCTGAAAACCACATCAACAAAAAAAGCCCCCCCAAAACAAAAGCCCAAAACCCTGTTCCCCGTATAGCAGTAGCAACCCTATAGTGACCCTTCAAGGAACCGTTAAAGGAACTAGTTTCTTGTAGCCCTGAAAGGAACCTCGGTCCCAGAGCCGTCGCTGATGATGGAAGGCCAAAAGAGGGCGTTTAAGACTTTAAGATTCTTGGGGTAGGGACCCAGAGAGCCCAATACCCCTTAATTAAGGAATATACCTTAAATCATAATATGAACCCCCTTATTATTATTTAAGCTATATTCCTTAATTAAGAGGTAGTGCGCTCTCTGGGGATTCCTGAATATGAACCCAATAATACCCTGTAATCCCTACTAAACCCCCATAGGCTGAAACCCCTTTTAGCCTCCGATGATACCCTTATAGATCCCTTTAAAGGAACCTCTATAGATCCCTTTAAAGGAACCCTATAGGGATCCCTAACCCCCATAGGCTGAAACCCCCTTTTTGGCCTCCTATGAACTGAGTCACCCGGCCCGATCCTTGGCTTCCTTGGCCTCCTCGATTTCCTCACATTTCGGCTTTCGGGGTCAACCCAGAGAGCCCATTACCCCTTAATTAAGGAATATAGCTCACATAATAAGGGGGATTCATATTATGCTTGAAGGTATATTCCTTAATTAAGGGGTATTCGGCTTTCGGGGTCAAGGCTTCCTCTTTTAGAGTCCTATAAGTTAGAAGGGGCCCCCACCCTGTAATAGTGACTATAAGGATTATATTTAGGCCCGAAAAAAAATCCTACTATACCACTATTACAGGGCGGGGGCCCCTTCTAACCTATAAGGCTCTACACCTTTAAGTACTCAAGGTGTTCTATAGTAGGGCTCCCCTGAAGGGTTACTGTGGCTTAGCAGTAAAGGGTCAATACGAGGGATTAGGGAGTTTCCGAAAAATGGGGGTACCTTTTGTTTGGCGGTCTTTATTATAAGGATCCTACTATTTAGGGTAATTACTATATTAGGGCCCGCCCCATTTTCGGAAACTTCCATTAGGGTTAGCGTATGGGGGGGCGGCCGAGGGCTCTATTTTGGGTTTAGGGGTTTCGGGTTTACAGTTTAGGGTTTAGGGTTTACTATACTGAACTTAGAACCCTGGCAAAAATTATAGTTTTAGCTGTTTCTTAGGGATTATAATAACCAAAAATTACAAAAAGTCTTCCTAAGTACCCCTAAGTTTAGGGCTTAGGATACGGCTCGGGCCCGCTCCTGCTGCTCCTTCTGCGCCTTTTCCTCGGCTTCCTGCTCCATCTGTTGAGCCTGCGATCAGAGGGTCACAAAACTGGTTTAGGGCTTCGGGTTTCGGGTTGAGGGTTTAGGGCTTAGGTTTGGGGTTTAAGGTTTAAGGTGTAGGATCACAAAACCAGAGGTTTGTTGTTGTTAAATGTGTATTGGCGCTTCTTTTCCTGCAGGTTTAAGGTTTAGAGTTTAGGGTTTAGGCTTAGGGTTTTTGAGTTTCATGGGACTTAGTACCTGGGCTATTAGGATTTCTGTATTTGTAACTACCCATAAACATGTATTGAAGCGCCGATAACCTTACTTACCAAGTCCCGTGATCCTCCAAGTAAAGGTTACTACGAGGGTTACTCTAAGGGTAATTGCTTTTGAGGGGTGTTGCCAAGGGGTAATTTTATGTGGTAGTACAAGGGGTACTACATAAGGATTGCGATAAGGGGTAATCACTGCACAGGAGCTGCTATCATTTGTCAAAGTGCCAGCTGCGCAGGAACGCTGCCCCCAAGTGCCGACGAACATTGCCGGGCCTTCGCCAAGCTCGCCTCTGCGGATTCTTTTGCCTCGGCGCGAAAGGACGCATGCTAGGGTTTAGGGGTTTGGGGTTAGGGTTTCGGGTTTAGGGGTTTAGGGTTGAGGGGTTATGGATTAGAGGATTAGGGTATTAGGGTTTAGGGGTTTAGGGTTCAGATGGGTCCAGTGCTAAAGTGTCAACATCGCAACACAAATAGTTTGGAATGTCCTGCAGTCGTCACGGCTCATGCAAGGTTGCGTCCGTGTAGGGGCCTTAATAATTGGAATAGGGTTTTGGGGCCCACTATACTATAATTATTATAAGGAACCCCCAAAATAGTATAGGTAACTATTTAGGCCCCAAGAGTGCATGGCCTTCTCAGCATCCTTCTGCGTCTCCGAGAGCTTAGCCTGCAAAGCTGACACGAAGGAGTCTGGACCGTCTGGACGCTTAGAAAGCAAGTTGCACAAGCTTTATGGTGGTTTCCGAAAATAGGGGACCCTAATATAGTACCCTACATAGTAGGATATGAGGACGCCAATCTAGGCTTCCACCTAAGTTTCGGAAACTCCACTGTGGAGGGAGACTGCCAGATGCAGACACTTCGTTGGGCTCAACGAACTCATACGACTATACTTCCTTAAATAAGCCCTTATTATGGGCATTAAGGCCCCCTACCCTCCCCCAAGGGTCCCTATGACGAAAGGCCTGCTGTTGGCTGGCTTCCTTCATCATCTGTTGGCCTTTGGCTTCGGCCGCATGGCCCTGCGCAACCCAAGCGAGTGCAAGGAGGCAGCATCAGCTCCAAGGCATTTCAGGTGCGTTAACTTAACCTTAGAAGGGTTTAGGGTTTAGGGCTTACGGTTTAGGGCCTAGGGTTTAGGTCCCTCTGTCCATATATACTGTGAAAGCCTATATGCTTTTTTGAACCGCAGAATCTGTTAGGGTTCATTTTCGTCCTTAGGAAGTGAAGCCTCCCGGACCATGCCCGCCACGGAGGCGATCTCGGCATCTGCATGCCGCTTCTCCTTAGGCGAGCAGCTTCTCTGAAGACTAAACCCTACACGAAGGAGAAAGCCCTAAGGGTCCAAGTACCCAAAAAGTAGGGTTTCAAGCTCCAAATTCCTCAGGGTATGGATTTTGGGATCTAAAACCCTATTATTTGGGTACTTGGACCCTCTGGGAAGGAAAAGCTTGGCTCCGCTCCGCTGCAGCACTAGCTGCAATTTGCCTCGGAGAGCAATTCCCTAAACGGTTTAGGGTTTAGGAGATCTGCGCAACAGAGTTGCGCAGAGCTGGTCATGGCACAGGGGGAAATTTAAGCGTACAAGAGCCGAGCTCTAAACTCTAAGACGCTACACTCTATCTGCTCTATGCACGATCTGGGGCAGTGGCTGGGCATTTGCCGCTTCCTGCTTGGCAATGGCGATCTGACGGGTCTTCTCGTTCTCGAGGGCACGAATCTGGCAGGAGGAAAGCGGAAGTCGGAAAAGAAGAAAGGCTGATGTAGACCCCTGAGTGCAAAACCGCTTTCTTTCAGGGCCCTAACATGCAGATCTCTACGATATTGCCTCCTTGAATAGAGGGAAGGGGCTTATCAATCACGGGTCTACATACGTCTCAGGGTTTGAGAGGAAGCTCTAAACCGCAAATCTTGAATCCTAAACCCTGAGCCTTAAACTCTAACCCCTCAACCCTGAACCCTGAACCCTACGCCCTGAACATAAACCCAAAACCCTGAAAGCCTGAACCCTGAACCCTCAACCCTAAACTTAAACCCAACTTGGAGGATCATGGGACTTATTAACTAGGGTTATAAATACGGTAACTATACTTATAACTCCAATTAGGGTACTTATAACTTATAACCTTACTTTCTAAGTCCCATGATCCTCCAAGTAAACCCTGAACGCTAAAGCCTAAAATCCTAAACCCTGCTTATAGATCCCTTATAGGCAACCTTATACTAAAAGGAACGCTGAAAAGGTCCTTAAACCCAAAACCCAAAACCCTGAAAGCCTGAAGCTCGACGAAACCCTTCAAAAGACAAATTAAAACAGCGCTCCGCTGCCTTCGTGCTCGCCTCATGGACCTTGGAACTCTTAGGGTTTAGGGTTTAGGGCTTGGGGTTTAGGGTTTAGGGTTGAGGGTTTAGGGTCTAGGGTTCAGGGTTTAGGGTTTAGGGTCTAGGGTTTTTTTTGAAATGCAGTGGCCCTTTCTCCGCGCATGCGAGTCCAGCACCTGCCCAGGGTCTAGGGTTTATGGTTTAGGGTCTAGGGTTTAGGATTGTACCAACTTTAGAGTAACCTTTAAGGCACTTTAAGGCTACCATAGAGGCCACTAAGGTCATGGTCATAGTTACCTTGTAGTAAACCTTATATTGAACCTTACAGCAAATCTTGTAGTAACTCCAAGAGTAACCCTTATCGTAGCCGAATGCTCTCAAAATGTCGCGTGCTCTGTCGAAGGGAAACACCTTGCTCAAGTGCCAAGGGCTTCACAGTCACAACGGAAACCACTCAGCTTGCATCTTCTGACAGCATCGACAACCCGGCTACCAGTAGTGGCAGTTGTGTTGGAAGCACCAATCGGGCCCGCCAACCCACCCACGAACACGGGTCCCCTCTAACTTATGGGGGCCCGAAAGCGGGACCCTAATCTGGGGAACTACCCTTATAGCCCTTAGAGTATTCTGACAATGCATACCTTGTCGTGACCTCGTAGTCTTCGAGTCAGCTTGCAATAGTAACCCTGTGTCCTTATAGTCATCTTGTACTACCATTTAAGTAGACCTTCTAGTGACCCAGGGAATTGCGGATAAAACCCCAAACCCCCAAACCCCAAACCGTAAACCCCGAAATCCCTAAACCCCCAAACCCCTAAACCCCTAAACCCCCAAATCCCTAACCCCCAAACCTCTTGCACGAGTAGATCCCTTATAGGTCCCTTAAAGGGACCCTTACAGGAACCCTAAAACCCTAAAACCAGTTGCAGATTGGAGCTGCCAGGATTGCTGAGGCCTCGACCGTCGAGGCCTCCTGTGTGGCAGTGTCCTCAAGGCAGCGCTCAAATCGCCACACCTTAAACCGTTGAACTGATATGCTACCAGACTTAAGAGAACCCTTAAAGGAACCTTAGAGGAAGCCTTGAACGAATAAACCCTATCATACCCTGTGCGTCCTTCTGATGATGATCATAGCGATAATGACGAAGATGATGATGATGATGATGGTGATTACGTATGGTTTATGACTGTTCTTGTTACTCTTACCCTAACTCTTGCTCTCACGCTCACTCTTCTTACTGTTGTTTTGACTAGTATTATTCTCAAACCTTATACCCTAAACCTTGTTGTTAAACTGTTGTTGTTGCACTGACATTCCTGTTATTGTTGTTACTGTTATTTTCGCTGTTATAGTTACTATTGTTGTTATTGCTATGGGTTCAGTGATGTCCATAGCCAATACGTAATCTGGGCTGACGCTGTTGACGCCGTTGACGCTGTGAAACCAACAATACGCTGACGACGTTGACGCCGTTGACGCCGCTGACGCCGCTGACGCAGTTGACGCCGTTGACGCCGCTGACGCCGTTAACGTCGTCAACGTCGTCGACGCCGTTGACGCCGCTGACGACGTTAACGTCGTCGACGCCGTTGACGCCCTTGACGCCGTTAACGTCGTCACGCGCTTCACGTCCTCAGGTCGTCGCGTCAAGCCCCACATCGTCACGTCGTCCCTAAACCTATAATCCTTAAACCCTAGAAACTTCACACTAATCCCTATAATCCCTGAACCCTAATCCCTAACCCCCGCCCCGTATAGATTATATTAGGGATATTGGGGCTGTTCATCCTCAGGAGGCTGCCCCACCAACCCTGAAGTGTGAATACTATAGGGGCCTTAATAATTTGAAGAGGGTTCCTTTAAAGGGTTCTTATACAGGGTCATAAGGGATCTATAGTAGCGTTCTAAATCATTAGAATTGGTGTTTGGTGCCCATTATACTATAATATAAGGACCCCCAGAATAGTATTCCCGCTCGCACGGTCCAGGTGCTCTATTGGCGAATACTGTAGGGTGGTCCTGGCAGGGTTTTACTAAACTACCCATACAGGTATCCGAAGCCCAAGTACCCAAATGTAGGCGCCTTGCTGAATATAGAGCTCTGGGGTACAGAATCCTTTTGAGTTGAGTGTAGGGGATGCTTTTGTACAAATTACTCAAAACCAATTCTTCGGTAATTCGGACCCCGAAGATAAGGGCTTGGAGTTGGAAGGTGAGGGTTCTAGCCCCGACAAGAGCGTTGCCGAGCTCATTTGGTGTGATATGCTAGAAGAACCCAACGTCTCGACATATGACTTGATGATATGTGGACGAAACAAACCAATACCAATTTGTCTACATTTGTCGTTGCTGGCCACAAATTACGGAAACAACGTCAGTGTGAACAAAATTCGTCCCATCGAGCTCACAGTCAGCCACCATCACGGGACCTGGATGTAGGTTTAAATCTACCGTGTGCGCAGGGCCCTGTTGTTTTATGTGGTACTGTTACTGTCTTGAGATATAAACAATGTGCATACTCTCCACATTACCAGCACTACCCGCCGCTGACGACGTCGACGCCGTTGACGCCGTTGACACCGCTGACGCTGTTGACGCCGTTGACGCCGCTGACGCCGTTAACGTCGTCAACGTCGTCGACGCCGTTGACGCCGTTGACGCCGCTGACGCCGTTGACGCCGCTGACGCCGTTAACGTCGTCAACGTCGTCGACGCCGTTGATGCCGGGTTGACGCCGCTGACGCCGTTGACGCCGCTGACGCCATTAACGTCGTCAACGTCGTCGACGCCGTTGACGCCGCTGACGCCATTGACGCCGTTGACGCCGTTGGCGCCGTTAACGTCGTCACGCGCTTCACGCGCTTCACGTCGTCGCGGCAAAACTCACGTCGTCACGTCGTCGCGTCGTCACGCGCTGCGCCCCAAAATTTAGGCGCAGCTATGGACATCAATGGGTTATTAGTTAACTACTGAGCTTTTTATTGCTACGGTTATGTCTAGTGCTACTAAAACTGCTTATCGATGCTGTTGATTTGTGATTGCTAATCCATTAAGCTTGCCATTATCACTGCTACTGCTGCTATTGCAAAAAGTCTTCGCACACCCTGATTCCTAAACCCTAAACTAAACCCTAAACCCTGACCCCTAAACGGCCCTAAACCCCCAAACCCCAAACCCTAAACCTTAATAGATCCCTTCTAGATCCCTTAAAGGAACCCCTCTGGGGATCCTTTTTTTAAAGGAACCCTTAACCCGAAACCGGGGCTTTCCTTCTCGTTGTACGCCACTTCGAGGTCATGCTTGGCCTGGGCCTCCATCTGTCGCACCTGATCCGACCGACAGCGGGTTTGGGGTTTACTTGGAGGATCATGGGACTTAGGGTTCCTTAAAGGGCTCCTTAAAGGGAGCTATAGTGTTCTTTAAAGGGATCTATAGGGTTCAGGGTTTAGGGTACTACTTGGAGGATCAGGGGACATAGTAAGTAAGGTTATAAGTACCCTAATTGGGGTTATAAGTATAGTTACCCTAATTATAACCCTAGTTACTAAGTCCCATGATTCTTGCGTCCTTAAAAGGAACTCCAGAAAGTTGGAATATGGTTTCAGGGTAGGATACCTTATAATTTACCATAAAGGGTTTAGGGTAATCATATTCCAACTTTCTGGCTTTTACTGTAGGGTTGAGGGGTTTAGGGTTTAGGAACCAAGGTTCAAGGGTTTGGGGGTTTGAGGGTTTAGAGGTTTAGGGGTTTAGAGGTTTAGAGGTCTAGGGGTTCTTACTAGTGAGAGACTCCTGTATTACGTCCTCAGTGCACAAGTACACCAACCCTTACAACAATCCTAAAAGCAAAAGCATTCCGTTACGTCCTCAGTTCTTGTGAGGTGAATGAGGGCCCCGCAGCTGCCATTGCCTCGAGCTCCTCGTGATGCATGCGCCTGTCGCGCAGTTTTTGCTGCAGGATTTCAGGCTTTACCTGTGTTGTTTTAAACTCAAGGCTTGCCTCAACCCCAAATACCCTACCTTTTGAGGGTTTGCTAAATTTTAAGTTTCCTCATCTAGGTCCTGAAAAAGGCGTGATTTTCAGGGTCCAGGTCCAGGTATTCTTTAGGGTCTACGGTTTTTGGCAGACTTGGGCTGAGCCAATGCAGACGCTTGGGCTCCGGCTTGGCCAAGGTCATGAGATGCTCCGCACGCCCCATCTCACTGTCCGCAGAGTCCTGGAACCATTGGGAGCCACGGCTTAGGGCCGGTTCAGGGTTAAGGTAGAAGCCAGAAAGTTGGAATATCATTATCGTAACCCCTTTAAGGTAAACTATAGGGGATCCTACCATTAATCCATATTCCAACTTTCTGGAGTTCCCTTTAAGGGTTTAGGACTCAGGAGTTTCAGGGTTTAGGGGTTGCGAAGAAAACCAGCGCATTGTGGCTGTCGCGATGCTTCTCTCTTCCGACAGGCCTGAGAAACGAAGGCACGGTTGACGGGCGACCGCTGAACCCACTGCCCCAAACATCGGCCCCTGAACCCTAAACCCTCAACCCTGAAGAGCAGCGCTTCAGCATACCGGCCTTTGTCCGCTGTGCATGCTGCTGCATTCGCTGGGCGCTCTCCTGAAGAGGGTCGCAGAGAAACCCCGAACCCAAAGCTGGGCCTAAATCCTATACTTGGAGGATCATGGGACTTAGTAAGTAAGGTTATAAGTACCCTAATTGGAGCTATAAGCATAGTTAACTTGTTTATAACCCTGGTTACTAAGATAACCCTCCAAGTAGTGAACCCCAGAAAGTTGGAACATGGATTTAAGATGATTCATACTGGGGGATTCCCTATACTTTACTTTAAGGTAAAAGCCAGAAAGTTGGAATATGATTATCCTAACCCTTCTATGGCAAATTATAGGGTATCCTACCCTGAAGCCATATTCCAACTTTCTGGAGTTCCCTGTAAGGGCATGAGGCTACTGATGTTCCAACTTTCTGGCTTCTACTGTAAATCCTCCTCAACCCTCGACCCCAATTCCCAAACCCTTATAAGTGGTTTAGGGTTTAGGGTTAAGGGTTTAGGGTTTAGGGTTTAGGGTTTAGGGTACTTAAATAAACCCTAAAACCCTAAAACCCTTAGAGTACCCTTGGAGTAACCCATCTCTAGAGCCCAGCCAAGACCCCTTAACTAAGGAACATGCCTTAAATTCTTAAAAGGATCCCTCATAAGGTTTAAGATATATTCCTTCATTCCACCCTTTAATCATCCCTTAAAGTGTCGATTCCTTCATGAAGGGGTTTTGGAGTCTCTGTGGGAGACGTTACCTTTGGCTAGTAGGGAGTGGAAGAATGGTAGTAATACGGTTGATGATATTAATACTGCATTACCTTAGGGACCCCAAACGATGGGAACTATGATAGATTCCTTACTAGGGGGAATGCAGGATGTATATCATCAACCGAAGTAGATATAATTGTACCCCATTCCTCCATTCCCTACTTGGAGGATCATGGGACTTAGTAACTAGAGTTATAAATAAGGTAACTATACTTATAAATCCAATTAGGGTACTTATCACCTTACTTACTAAGTCCCATGGTCCTCCAAGTAACCCCTAAACCCCTATACATCCCTTATAGATCCCTTTAAAGAACCCCTTAAGGGACCCTTTACAACCCTAAACCCTAAACCCTGAACCCAAATCCCTAAACCCTAAACCCTAATACACCCTAAACCCTTGTAGTAGCCCTTTGAAGGAGCCCTTATAGTACCCTTCTAGTTTAGTAATCCTTTAAAGGAGCCCTAAACCCTAAACCCTAAACCCTAACAACCGCTAACCAGATAAGGAGCCCCTAAACCCTAAACCCTAAAGATCCCTATAAAGAACCCTATAACTCCCTTTAAGGAGCCCCGTAAGGAACCCTTTAAGGAACTCTAAAGTACTAACCAGAGACTCACTCGAGGCATCTCGGGGCCCAGCGAACTCCGAGTCGGCTTTCTGTGCCTTCGCCTCCTCGGTGCTGGGCTTAGGCTTTTGGGGTTTCGGGGGTTTCGGGGGTTTGGGGTTTAGGGTTTGGGGTTTAGGGTTTAGGCTTTTGGTGTTTCGGGGGGGTTTCTGGTTTAGGAATCAAGGTTTAGGGGCTTGGGGGTTTTTAGGGTTCAGAGGTTCAGGGGTTTAGGGGTTTAGGGGTTTAGGGGTTTCGGCTTTCGGGTTGAAGCTTTAGGGTTAGGGTTTAGGGTTTGGGGTTTAGGAAGGTTTAGTCCAGGGTAAGGTTGAGGCATGGGGTTTAGGGTTTGGGGTTTAGGATGGTTTAGTCCAGGGTAAGGTTGAGGCATGGGGTTCAGGGCTTGCGGTTTAGGATGGTTTCGGGCTTGTGATTCGGGAGCGCGACAGCTGGAAGCACCCGGGGCCGCTGCTACTTGCTGCATGCTTTGCCTCGCGGCTTCCATATCCTGCGCGGCAAATACGTCTCCCGGCAACACCGGCTGAGATCTGCTTCAGCCAGCTTGGGCCGCAGCTTTGTTGGCCTGCGCTTTCTCACTTTGAACTCGCTGCTCTTCCTGCGGATGCATTGCATCATGGCGGGCGGAAGCAGGAAAACAAAGGTCGAGAACACCCTGCAGCAGATCCCTGAACGCTGAACTGTGCAGATGCCATGCATCCCACATGTAGCGCTTCGGCAACCCTCATCTGCTGAGGCTAGGTTCGGCACCCTGCTGCTATCAGTAACGAGAGCGAAGCATGCGCACTGAAGCCGACAAACACAAACTCCCACAAGCAAAGTCTCATCATTTCTGGTGTCCTTCTGCAATGAGGCTTCCTCCGACTGCCTCAAACGAGAAAGTTGGAAGGGTACATGTGTTCGTGTGTGTGTGTGTGCATCAAGTCACTCCAGTTGTTGCCCAGTTCAGGTCTATTGTGTATGTATGTGTGTATATATATATGTGTGTGTATACACGTGAATGGGTGTGTGTATGTGTATACATATATACATTATACACACACATATAGTTGTATATACATACATGCATGCATGCATGCATACATGCGTGCGTATGTGCATACATACATACATACATACATACATAATTATATACATACATACCTGTGTACGATTGCGTGTGTGCATACACATTACTTTTCATACTAAGCGCCCCGCACTTTGGCCATCTCGCTGTCGGCGATGGCCTTGGCATTCTGCACGGCCTGGTCTTTGGCTTCCTGCAGGTCACGGCAGGTTCAGGTAGAAAGCTGGGGGATGCCAGAAATCCCATGAACAAAATTTATTCTTAATACGACTATACAACTGCTAGTACCTGATTATGATTCCGATTCCTAGTCTTGTCTTATTCCGATCACCCGCTGTCTGCGGAGTGGGAATCTTGTCAATTCTGAAACCAAAAAACCCAAAGGGTCCATGTACCCAAACACTATTTACAATGGCCTTAATCCCTATACAGGTACTTGGGGCCAAAGTATATGCTATTTGGGTACATGGGACATGGGCCCTTAAACCCTAAACCTTTCTGGACTCCTACGTAGTACTCCAAATAATAGGATCCTTATTATAAGGACCCCAATAAGTTACCCCAAATTCTGAGAGGCGCCCTGAACCCTAAACTTTCATCAACCCTAAACCCTGAGCCCACATCCCTAAACCCTAACCCCTAAACCCGAAACCCTTTTTGTAGCCCTTATAGTACGCTTCTATATAGTTTAGGAATCCTTTATAGGAGCCCTAAACCCTAAACCCCATAGCTCCCCGCCTCTGCCTAGTAACTGGTTGTTTTTAAGGACTTGTAAGTACCATAACCCCAATTAGGGTCCCTTTTAGGGTACTTATAAGTCTACTTACTACCTACTTACTAAGTCCCCTGACCCTCCAAGAGAGTTCCCCGCCTCTGCCGTTTCGAGCTTCTGGGCCTGCTGCATCTTCTCATCTGCTCTCTGCCTCGAACGCTTGGGGGCTTTTAGGGTCTAGGGGGTTCAGGGCTCCTATAAGGATCCCTTTAAGGGATCTTTGAAGGGTTTAGGGTTTAAGGTTTAAGGGTCTAGGCGTTTTAGGGGTTTAGGGTTTGGGGCTTAGGGTGTAGGGTTTGGTAGTTTAGGGTTTAGGGGTTTAGGGTTTGGGGGTTTAGGGCTCAGGGGTTTCGGTTTTTGTTTTAAGCCTTTAGGGTTAAGGGGTTTAGGGTTTAGCCCGGTTTCCGGGAAGCTCTGCCGGAACCGTGGCTGCTTCTTTACCGTAGCACTAAGATCATAGGGATCCTTAGGGGTGTAGGGGGGAGGGGTGTAGGGGACTATATTTCCTTAAATAGGCCTTATTAGTCCTTATTATGGGCCTTAAGGCCCCCTACCCCCCCTCCCCCTACACCCCTAAGGATGCCTATGATAAGACGATGATGCACCACGACCCCGCCAAGCAAGTGCCAGGAGCGAAAGTCTGACTTTAAAGCTCCCGAAGGGTCCAAGTATCATTATAGTATAGGTTTAGGGTTTAGGGTTTAGGGTTTAGGGTTTAGGGTTTAGGGTTTAGGGTTTATATACTTGTAGGGCATTTTGTCTAAGTATATATCATAATGATACTTGGATCCTTCGGGGCCTTAAAGCCACCGACCGAATGGACGCTTTCTCCGGCTTCGGAACACAGCCCAGGCAAGAGCAAACGTCCACCTACACCCAAGCCCTAGAGCCTAAACCCCAACCCTAAAACCCCTATCCCAAACCCCAAACTCATAAAACCCTCGACAAATCCGGCAAGGGAGGCAGACCTTTGAGCCCCTAATATAGGGGCCGTAAGAACCTATGCCTACAATAAGGAGCCCGAAAATCGTGTTGGTAGTTTGTCGGTTTCGGGCTTAGGGTTTAGCTGCCGGAAATTGTTTAAGCTGCTATACTACCACCAGGGCTCTGGCTTCTCGGCGGCAAGAGCAGACTCCCTTTGTCGGATCTCTTCCTCGTCCTTCTTGGCCTTATCTTCACGTTTAGGGTTCAGGGTCGAGGGTTTAGGGTCTAGGGTTAAGGATCTAGGGTTTAGGGTTTCGGGGCTAGGGTTTTAAGGTTAGGGATTTAGGGTTTAGGGTTTAGGGTTTAGGGGTTTAGGGGTTTAGGGTTTAGGGTTTAGGGTTTAGGGTTTAGGGTTTAGGGTTTAGGGTTTAGGGTTTAGGGGTTTAGGGTTTAGGGTTTAGGGGTTTAGGGTTTAGGGGTTTAGGGGTTTAGGGTTTAGGGGTTTAGGGGTTTAGGGTTTAGGGTTTAGGGTTTAGGGTTTAGGGTTTAGGGTCAATGACGGTTTGGGCACAAAGGGTTTTATGAGGATTCTTGTGGGGATGCTCGCAGGGCATCACTTAGAGGCGCACACAAGCACAAATTGGGAGGGTCATATCCCATACAAATCCCCTTACAGTCAAGCTCCATAACGTAGGGATATCCCTGTCAAATGCTGATGCTTATGACTTTCGGAAGCAACTGTATGGGGAGTACTATCAAGATTGTTTCAAGTTGTACAAGGTTTTATAATCGTCTTTGTTATAGGGTTGTGTATAACGGTCTATAGCGGTTTTAAATCGGCGCTTTACAAAAGTCCTACACGGACGTTAAGTATTGTTTAGAAGTTTGTCCAAGGTATTTGAAAGCTTTTATGAAGCCTCTCTTGCAGGGTTGAGACGGCTCAGGCGTTGCGGCTTAGGGCTTTGGCGACAGCGATCCGAAAAAGACCACCGGCCTTGTTCACGGCAGAAGCGGCGGCCTGCTGCGCCTGCAGACTGGCTTGAAGCGAGACGCACGGCATACCATTCAGACCCCAACTGACAAGAACCAAAAGATGCAGAGCCCCCTCTGCTAGCCTGCTTCGCTTCCTTCTCCTCCTGTGCGATCTTCTTCGCCTCGGGAGACTTAAAACATCGCTGTGCAAACTGCAGCTGGCCCGTCGCCCAACCCTAAATGAAGATTTCAGGCAGCAACCCCGAGAGGAACCATGATAGGAAACCCCTACCGGAAGTCGTAAAGGAGCCCTTTTGGGAACCGTATAGGGACCTTGATGGGAACCCTGAGGCAACCCTTAAAGCAACCCAAACCCAAACTTTAAACGCTAAACCCTATGCCCTAAACCTAAGCCCTAAACCCCTAACCCCTAAACCGCCTAGCCACTAAACCCTAAACCCCAAACCCCTAACCCTCAACCCGAAGCTCTAAAACCCTACACCCCTACACCCCTAAACCCCTAAACCCGTAACCCTAAACCCCTTGTAGATCCCTTATAGGTCCCTTACATCGACCCTCAAAGGAACCCTAACCCTTAAACCCGAAACCCTGAAAGCAACCCTAAAACGCAAAGCCAGGTCGCCAGGGCCATCTCCTGCTGCGCCTGCTGAGCCTGAAAACTTACCTTTGGTTAATAGGGAATGGAAGAATGGTAGTAATAGTAGTGATAATTGTACCCCATTCCTCCATTCCCTACTAACCAAAGGTAAGAAAAGAGGGCGGATTTGTCGCAGATCCCATGGGCTTAGGGGTTTAAGGATTCGGGTTTAAGGGTTTAGCGGTAGGGTTTTAGGGTTTACGGTTCAGGTTTTGGGTTTACGGTTTTCGGGGTGGTTTTGCGGTATTTCTGTTTTAATCGGGCTTTAGGGTTTAGGCGTTTAGAATGCTTGGGCCTGGAGTTTGGGGCTCGGGGTGTAGGGCTTAGCATCCTAGCCTTCGCCCACCAACTTTTTTGCTTTTCGCCACGAAGTTTTGGCCAGCGACCTTCGTGGGATTCGGTCCAAACTTCGCGGGCTGCGCAAACAAACTCCGTGCGCAGAGGCGAAATTCTTCGCTGGCCAAGCCAAATTCTAGGTGGGCCGAGGCAAAAAAAAACTGGAGGCCACAACCCATTGCCCACGAAGCTGGCGGCATGGTTTAGGGTTTCAGCAAAGGACATTGTGCGGTTTAGGCTTTTGGTGTTAGGCTTTAGGGTTTAGGGATTCAACACTTCGTGGGCATCGCTGCTCTTTAGGGGTCTGGGGCTTGCTGGGGGCTGGTCTTTGGCTTAAGCTTGAAGCCTACTTGAAGGTCCACTCCTCGTTGTCGTCATGTTTCAATAGTGGTGCGATTGCACCAAATTCTCTGAAAGGACACGCTGCAGAAAATTTGGTGCTATCAAACCGAACCGGCTCTCTTTGTCTTCAGTTTTGCAAAACAACACGGCTCGATTGCAGCAAGATGGCTGCACGATGTGATGGCAGACAGCAGGAGCATATACACGGATAAGGCAGACAGTTTCCAAACAATGTGGGAGCGAAGGGCGGGTGGGTAGATTGTTGTTACCAAAGCAGTGAACTTGCCTAGTGAGTAGTGAATGCTTGAATTTGAAGCGCTGAACCCTAAATGCTAAAGCCTAACATCAAAACCCTAAACCGCGAAATGTCCTTTACTGAAACCCTAAACTTAACCATGCCGTAAACCCGGGATCCCGAACCCTAAGCCCCAAACCCTAGACCCCAAACAACACTTAATTAAGGGATATACCTTAAATCATCTTAAGGATCCTACTAAAATTTCAGGTATATTCCGATATTCCTGAATTAACGGGTTTTGGGACGCGGGCTCTACCCCGGGGTGGGCCCCGCGCCTGGATCTGGGCCGCCTTCGCGGCGTCCTGGGCACCCGCCACGATATCCGAACCGTCCTGGTGGAGTTTAGGGTTTAGGGGGTTTAGGGGTTCAAGGTTTAGGGGTTTAAGGTTTAGGGTATAGGGCTTGGGGTTTAGGGGTTTAGGGGTTTATAGGGGTTTAGGGGTTCAGGGTTTAAGGTGTCGGGGCTACTTGGCGGTTCATGGGACATAGCAAACAGAGTTATAGATAAGGTAACATACTCGTAGTTGTAGCCCCAGCGAATGCACATATAACAGTACTTACTAAGTCCGATGAACCTCCAAGTACTTTAAGGGCACTGTAAGAGTACTATAAGGGTTCTGCTTTAAGACTTCAGGGTGTAGGGTCTAAGCTTCAGGGTTTGATTCCAAGCTTCAGGGCTTGGGGTTTGGGTGTATGTAGGACTGTCTAACTGTTCGGGGCTCAGGGTTCGGTGTGGGCCTGTGCCTAAAGCCATCAATGACGACATCCAAAACACGAACAAAACTCGGTATAACAAGAGCTTACTAGTAATATATAACTTGTAATTACGGCGATGTAGTGTCATCACCAACACCACCATTGTCATCATCGTCATCGTACTAGTCCGCTTCTGCGTCTTGTTTTTCTTATTGTTAGGATTCTGAACCTCCGTCGTAGCATTGTTCTTCTTACTATGCGCAATGTAAACACACCCGTCACTATCACCAGCAGGATCATGATTGTTCCTGATTATGATGCGGACATGATTGCACAACAACTAAACTGAACCTCGGCCCCGCAGTAGGCCCCTGGCAATAAGGGTACCCGTTTCGCTACTATTTGGCTGTGATCAGGGAGTTTGGAAAAAATTGCCACAAGGTACCCTAAACCCCATGCCCCAAACCCAGAACCCTAAAGCTTCGAGGGCTCAACAACCTCCACCGCAGAGCCCTACGCGGCCCGAGCTTCGCGGCTTCGCGAGCGGCGGAAAACGCGTATGCGGAGCCTAGGTAAAGCTAGGCAACTTGCACCATGCATACCAGCCCCTCGAAGACCTCCCACGGAGTGGGTTTTTAAGGAGCAATCCTAAACCCGAGGGTTTTGCCAACACATCCTTTCGACAAGAGCTTGACCCCTCAACCCTTTACGAGTTGGAGCAGCCTGGCTGTTTGACAAGGGTTGGACCGGTTCCCTAGAAGGACATGGATAGGACCCCAAGGATGGGACCCCCCGACCCTTGACGATTTGGCGGCTGTTCCCTTCCAGGGGGCTGACAGCTGATTTTCTGTTACCAAATTTTGCTTCATTTACATTGGGCTGTCGGCCGATCTCGGGGTTCCCGCCATGTCGACAACTCCCGGCAGCAGAGCTTTACAGAAAGCCCCATCCAGAAAGGGACAGATTCACAGAAAACCCACATGCATTATTGCTTGTTTGTCATAACTCCCGCCAACACACCCTCACAGCAAACGCACTGCCCACTGCTTCTTCCGGCAACCGCCGGGACAGCATTACAGAAAGCCCACATTGAGAACCTGCCAGCACAGCTTAAATGAAAGCCGGGTCCAGACAAGGACAGATTCACAGAAAGCTCACATGCAGTGCCGCTTGTCTCATCGCAACTCCCGCCAGCACAGCCTCCCAGAAAGCCCATTGCTTTTTCTGGCGCCCACCAGGACAGCCTTACGGAAAGCCCACATGAGAACCAGCCATCACAGCCTCACGGAAGGCCCAATCCAGAAACTCACACGAAGGCGACATGCAGTGCTGCTTTCGATCCTGTCTGGCCCCGTTGAAAGTAACGGATGCCCAGAAGACTGTAAAACTAAATCCACAAGCGCTTGAACTCATGGTGGTCTTGGGGTGGGCTGCCTGCGACGCACAGGTGCGAGCGGCCTGGGTATGCACACACCAGCGAGCACCCATGACGTCACCACGCCATAAACCCTAAACCCCTTCGGAACCCCAAACCCTAGGAACCCTGGGGAACACCACACCATAAACCCTAAACCCCAAGGGAAGGCCAGGGTACACCACACCACAACCCTAAACCCTTCGGAACCACAAACCCTAAACCCTAAACCCCTTATAGATCCCTTATGGATCCCTTAACGGGACCCTTATTCGGCCCTTCTTGGAAAATCGGGAAACTTAGTAACTGGTTATTTTAGGGGCTTATAAATACCATAACCCCAATTAGGGTCCCTTGGAGTCCTCGGTGTCGCTCGGCGCAGGCGGTGCTGGCGCCGGAGCTCGCGGCGCGGAGCCGCGCAGTCCCCAAACGTCCTGAGCGCGAGCCGAGGATCCCCAGATCCCGTTGAGGGTTTGGGTTTTTTTTTTTGAGCTCCTTTTCTCGGGTTTAGAATTGAGGGTTTGTTTTTGAAGGAGGTAGTAGTAGAAGGTAGTAGTAGAAGGTAGTAGTAGTGGTAGTAGTAGAAGGTAGTAGTAGTGATAGTAGTAGTAGTAGTAGTAGTAGTAGTAGTAGTAGTAGTAGTAGTAGCAGTAGTAGTAGTAGCAGAAGTAGTAGTAGTTGTTGTTGTAGTAGTCGTAGTAGTAGTCGTAGTAGTAGTAGTAGCAGTTGTAGTAGTTGTAGTAGTAGTAGTAGCAGAAGTAGTAGTAGCACTAGTAGCAGTAGTAGCAGTAGTAGTAGCAGTAGCAGTAGCAGTAGCAGTAGTAGTAGTAGTAGTAGTAGTAGTAGTAGTAGTAGTAGTAGTCGCAGTAGTAGTAGCAGTAGTAGTAGTAGGTATCTCCATAGCCTTTTTGGTTTACAGATAGGGCCCCAAAGGGTTTAGGGGTTCGGGGGGTTGGGGTTTCGAGGGTTCCGGGAGTTTTAGTTCTTGGCTCGTTTTTAAGAGCCCCTTTTCTACGTCCATGGTTCAGGGTTCAGAGTGGAGGGGCTTTGGGGTTCGGTGGTTCAGGGTTTAGGGGGTTAGGGTAGGATTCGGGTTCAGGGGTCGCCAATTGGGTGGAGGCCTACTCCCCAAACCAGAGTCTGTCAATTCAGGTTTCCTTCACTCACACGACGACTTGTTTCTTTCTTTCGGGGTAACCGGCGGTGTGTTTGCTGGCTTCTTGCTTGTAAGGGCTGCGGAGCAGGCGAGCAATGTTCCTTGGCCAGCCTGCTGACAGCACCTTGCCCCCTTCAGCCCCCCGGAAAAGCACAATCAACACTCGACAACGCAGGCGATCCTCCTCTCTCTCTCGCTCGCTCTCGCTCTCGCCCTCGCTCTCGTTCTCGCTCTCGCTCTCTCTCTCTCTCTCTCTCTCTCTGTCTCTCTGTCTCTTTGTCTCGCTCTGTTGCCCTCTGGGTTGCAACACCGCGGTATAGCAGCTCGTTCTGAGGCGTGCGCAGCAGCATTGGCTACCGCAAGGCCGGCGAACAGGAGGCGCAACGCCATGGACCTTGACAAGCTTCGTCAGCTGTGAGCCGCTCATAAAAAGCAACAACAAGCCAAGCTGTGTTGGCCCCACTGAGTGGGCCACGGCATGGTGCGAAAGAAGCTGCTCCACTCGCGTCTCAGAGTCTACGGGTAATCTGAAAGCTCAATCACCTCTGTTTGAGCCAACGCTCGGAATGCCCGGACATGATCAAGACAACAAACGACGGACATCGGTTCGACATGCTGAGCTCTGCTTCTAACCAGAACTCACAAAAGAAATGAGCCATGCAATTCGTGGCCTGCGCTGGTGTAGACTTTGCTTCCATCAACCCCCGCACCTGCAGAGAGAAGGACGAAACAAGGTCTGACACAAAGACACCTGCAGTAGCCCTAAATCCTTAACCAGCCAAACTCCAAACACCCCAGGCCCAACCCTATACTAGAATTTGCTATGATATACTGGAATGCATGTGTATGTGTTTATATATATATATATATATATATATATATACATGCAAAATGCTATAATATTCGAAACTGCACGATGGATGATATATTGTAATACACTCCGCGGCAGAGCCCCGGACGGTTTTGTGTGACCCAGCAAACCAAGCCTCCTGTTCAAAAGCCAGCCGCTGCTGCCGCTCCAGGATCAACTGCTGCGACAGCCTCAGTTGCCGATAATGATAAAGGCGAAACCTTATCGCACCCTTGTAGTGACCCTTGTTTTGAAATACTCAATAACCGTATTTATAGTACCGTGACAGCATTATGGAACTTTTTTTGGTACATGTAGGATCATGGGACTTGGTAACTAGGGTTATACAGAAGTATCTCTGTGTGTATATACATGTATGTATATAAAACACAGATAATACTGATAAGGATAGCATTAAGAGCACCGCAATTGGTTGAATAAACTGTCTCAGCTCTTACCACGATTCTAGCAATAAGTAGTGTTGATTATGATAGTAACCCAGAGAGCCCAATACCCTTTAATTAAGGCCTAAGGGGTATGGGGCTCTCTGGGAATATCTCGTCGTACTATCTGCCCTTATGGTACCCTTGTAGAAACGCTTAAAGGAACCCTAAGAGGGACCCTACTTAGAGGATCATGGGACTTAGTACCTAGGGTTATAAACAAAGTAACTATACTTTTAACTCCAATTAGGGTACTTATAACTTAACTTACTTAGTCCCATGATCCTCCAAGTAATCCCTAAACCCCTATACATCCCTTATAGATCCCTTTAAGGAACCCCTTAAGGGACCCTTTACAACCCTAAACCCTGAACCCAAATCCCCAAACCCTAAACCCTAATACACCCTAAACCCTTGTAGTAGCCCTTTAAAGGAGCCCTTATAGTACCCTTCTAGCTTAGTAACCCTTTAAAGGAACCCTAAACCCTAAACCCTATACCCTAACAACCGCTAACCAGATAAGGAGCCCCTAAACCCTAAACCCTAAAGATCCCTTTAAAGAACCCTATAACTCCCTTTAAGGAGCCCCTTAAGGAACCCTAAACCCTAATCCTTTAAAGGAACCCTAAACCCTAAACCCCCTGAGCTCCATGCCCTTTAGTGCTCGTGACCAGGCCCACCATCTTCGAAGTCAGGCTTTGGCTCTTCTGCTGCAACTGGCCGGGTTTAGGGCTTTGGTGCTTTAGGGATTAGGGTTTTAGGGGTTTAGGGGTTTAGGGTTTAGGGTTTAGGAGTTCAGGGGTTTAGGGTTTAGGGGTTCAGGGGTTTAGGGGTTTAGGGGTTTAGGGTTTAGGGGTTTAGGGTTTAGGGCTTTAGGGTTTAGGGGTTGAGGGGTTTTAGGGATTAGGGGTTTAGGGTTTAGGGGTTCAGGGGTTTAGCGTTTAGGGTTTAGGGGTTCAGGGTTTAGGGGTTCAGGGGTTTAGGGCTTAGGCTTTAGGGTTTAGGGATTAAGGATTAGGGTTAAGGGGGCTTAGGGTTTAGAGTTTAGGGGTTGAGGGGTTTAGGGGTTTAGGGTTTAGGGCTTTAGGGGTTTAGGGTTTAGGGGTTCAGGGGTTTAGGGTTTAGGGGTTTAGGGGTTAAGGGGTTTAGGGTTTAGGGATTAGGGGTTTAGGGTTTAGGGGTTAAGGGTTTAGGGGTTTAGGGTTTAGGGCTTTAGGGCTTTAGGGGTTTAGGGATTAGGGGTTTAGGGTTTAGGGGTTCAGGGGTTTAGGGTTTAGGGTTTAGGGGTTTAGGGTTTAGGGATTAGGGGTTAAGGGCTTTAGGGGTTTAGGGATTAGGGGTTTAGGGTTTAGGGGTTTAGGGGTTTAGGGTTTAGGGTTTAGGGGTTTAGGGGTGTAGGGGTTTAGGGTTTAGGGTTTCGGGGTTTAGGGCTTAGGCCTTAGGCTTTAGGGTTTCATGGGCAGTTCTCTATGTTAGGGTGCTTTTTAGGGTTCCTTAAAGGGATCTATAAAGGTTTCTATGAAGGTTTTGGGTTTAGGGTTTAGAGACATCCAAGGGCACAAAAAAGACTCCAAGTGAAGCCTTGCTTTGGCCTGGGGGATAAGGGCTTCGTGTTTCAAATTTTGGGTATAGGGCCTAGGGTTTACCTGTAGCCGAAAAGACCTACCTCTTTAAGGAACTATATACAGAAACCATAATAACGAACCCTAAAAAGGTAGATCTTTTCGGCTACAGGTACTTGGAGGATCATGGGTCTTGGTAACGGTTATACATTAAATAAGGCAACTATACTTCTAACTCCAATTAGGGTTCTTGTAACCTTACTTACTAAGCCCCATGATCCTCCAAGTAGGGTTTCATTAAGGCTTAGAGCTTCGGGATTAGGATCTCGGTCCTAGGGGGCATGCTTCCCCGGGCCTCTTCCTGCAGTGCCGTGACTTGCGCCTTAGCTGAGCCCGTTACATTTTGCAATGAAAATAAACGAAGGCACTCTCTTGTTGTCATTAAGCCGCAAGATTACAAAGTCCCTACACAATCTGAAGAAGTATCAGTCGCAGTCCTTCCCTGAATCCCTAACCCGCAAACCCTGCACCCTATGTAATCCGAAGAAGGAGCCCGAGCCATCTTCCCCATTCCTGCAGCGAAGTTTTGCAGCAGCCTTGTTGGGAAGCCAAAAGGTGGTTGAAGATTCTTGGGGTAGGGATTCCTTAATATGACAAATATTATGGGAACCCTAATCCCTACTAAACCCGCATAGGCTAAAACCCCTTCTGGCCTCCTACATTATAGAACCCCTTATAGTACCCTTATAGATCCCTTCTAGTACCCTTATAGAGCCCGTAGAGCACCCTTATAGATCCCAGACCCTAAACCCGACTAGGATGTAGTCGGCGGCCTCCTTTTGGCCTCCTATGAAGCTTCTGCGAACTCAGGTTGCGGCCTGCAGGCACTGCTCGGACTTGGACCTGCATCCGTTTGGCGGGGGATTGTAAAGGGTCCCTTAAGGGGTTCCTTAAAGGGATCTATAAGGGATGTATAGGGGTTTAGTCATACTTGGAGGATCATGGGACTCAGTAAGTAAGGTTATAAGTACCCTAATTGGAGTTATAAGTATAGTTACCTTGTTTATAACCCTAGTTCCTAAGTCCCATGATCCTCCAAGTTGGCGGGGGGCCTAAGATAACTTTGCGGCCTTAGATAGCTTTTAAAGGCTCAGGTTGTAGGGTTTAAGGGTTCCGGGCTACGGGCTTCTGGACTCAGAGCTTCAGGTTTAAGCTCTAAATCCTAAATCCCTAACCCTGCACCCTCAAACCGAAGTCCGGAGAGTTTAAGGCCTACTTGCTGCTGTCCCTTCTAGTACCCCTTTGGATCCCTTTTAGCACCCCTACAGCTCCCTATAGTACCCCTAGATAGGTCCCGTATAATAGATATAGACCACTAGACATCCCTGATAATAGAATAGCCCTCAAGATCCCTGAATTCTAGCCCCCCTGGAGATCCCTTGCAGTACCCTTGCGGCACTCCTCCTGTTGATGTAAATCCTGCATTACCTTAAGGACCCAAAAACCATGGGAATTATGGTATATTCCTCATTATTGGTCATGCAGGATTTATATGGGAGTTTCCGAAAATAGGGGGCCCCAATAGAGTATCCTAAATAATAGGATCCTTATTATAAGGACCCCCAAATAAGGGACCCGTAATTTTCGGAAACTCCCATATCATCAACCGTCCCTTTGCAGACGCCTGGGAGAACTCACCGACTCCGTGTCCCGACAGTCACGCAAAGCGCCTCGGACACTTGGGGCGACACCGCTTGGAGGGTCGGGGGACCTAGTAACTGGTTATTTTAGGGGCTTATAAGTACCATAACCCCAATTAGGGTCCCTTTTGGGGTACTTATAAGTCTACTTACTACCTATTTACTAAGTCCCCCGACCCTCCAGGTGGGGGCCTTAATAACGAGCATAGGTTTCCCTTTGAAGGGATCCTTGAAAGGGGTCTACTAGAGATCTGTAGTAGAGCTCTACCGGTGGCAAGAGTCGGAGTCAGGAGTGGACAGTGGCGGGGGGAGTAGTGGTAGGTTAGGGTTAGTTAATACATAGGCGCTGTTCACACGTATGCCAATGCATCCCCAACAAAGAAGGACGATCTGGTGGGATTCATGAGCTCGGCGAAGCTCCTTCCCCCAAGTAGTGGCGAGGTTCAGAACTATGGCATTAATGCTTCCCTCAAATACTGCCAGGAGGACGGCCAAGATGCTTCCCCCAAATACTGGCTGGATTAATGATTTCGAAGCCAAAGGGTGGCCAATGTATTGGGACTCACAACGGATGTGCTCTTCGGTGGATGCATTCGCACGCAGATCCTGACATCTCCTGAAACAACAGGACGGAAGCGCAAAACATGCACTGCGCCAGAGCGGGAGCCACCTTCGCCGACCCACCCTGTCCGATTCTCTTTACACTGAACCTTAGAAACCCACGCGATTTAGGGTTTAGAGACCCTACAACCCTAATAGAACACGTGTTTGGGAAAAAAACCCACTTGGAGGGTCGGGGGAATTAGTAACTGGTTATTTTAGGGACTTATAAGTACCACAACCCCAATTAAGGTCCCTTTTAGGGTACTTAAAAGTCTACTTACTACCTACTTACTAAGTCCCCCGACCCTCCAAGCAAGCTCCA